GGTGGGCGTCCCTTGACCGTTTTTGGGAATACTACGATGGGGTCATTGTGGAGGATGATACTACGGGATCAGGGAAAATTTTGGGTGGGAACATTTGGGGAATCTTTGATGGCATACTTGGATCATGGAGGGATGACTGGGTTAATCCTATGTGTGAGAATACTTCGGGCTGGGGATCATACGGGGATCCTTCTGGGGAATCCTGCGGGATCATGGTTAATATTATGTGGTGAATCCAGGGGAATATCCTGGGTCGGGGGTCCTGGGAGAACACTCGGTGGGGATACTGCTGGAATCCTGGGTTGGGATCATGAGGAATTCTGTTGGAAATCCTTGGTGGGAGAATCCTCGTTGGGAATCCTAGGATGGTCATGGCAAGTCCTCGTAAATTTGGGTAATCCTGGAGGGGTCATAGGGGATACTAGAGGTGATGGTCCTCGGGGATCCTGCTGTGGTCTTAGAGGGACACTGGGTGTGGACCTGGGGGTCATCAGGGAATCCTGGGGTCCTAGAGGGATGCTGTGGTTCCTGGGGATGGTGATGCTGGAGGGATACTGTGTGGGTCCTAGGGGTGGTTCCGTGGGGCGATCCTGGGTACGGGGATCATGGGGGTTGGCCCAAAGGGGATGTCCCTGGGGGAGGGGTGCGACTGGGGTGGAGGCTCTGGATAAGGATGTGCCACTGCAGTAAGGGGTGTGGCTGGCCTTGGGTATGCTGGCACTGGCTGTGGTGTTTCTCCCTGGGAAGGCTGGGCTTAGGGGGGTTCGTTGCAACCTGGAGTCAGGCGTCCGGGCCAATATCTGTTACCGGGTCCGAACCTCTGCTTGCACAGGGGAGGGGACTGCGCGCCCAAGGCCGGGTCGGCAACCCACTACCTCCATAGACTTCGCCACATAGGCATTATAACAGTCTTGAATGGAAGCTGCTATGTAGATATTATGATGGTCTAGAATTGAGGCCACTAATCAGGGTGAGTCAAAAGTATGTTTACAAACTTTGTGTGTGTGTGTTCCTGGATCAAACATAAGAAAAAATGTTCCTATGAACATGTGGTCGCAAATGCTTCCTTATCAAATACGTAATGGCCAAAATAAGTTTTGATGTTATGCCTTTATTGCCAAGTATAAGGACAGGGAAGTTTCTTTACAACAGATGCTCAAAGGTTGCTCCTCCATTCTCCACACATGCCCGAGCACGACGTGCACGAGACTGACGGATTCGTTCGTACACACCAGGGTTTCCTCAAATCATATGGCATGCATTCTGCACACGTCCCCATAGGTCGTCATCATTGTTTATGATTGATGCATAAACGACGGACTTCAAGTGACCCCACAGATAAAAATCCAATGGAGTCAGGTCCGGTGACCTCGGTGGCCATGCTACTGGGCCACCGCATAAAATCCATCACTGAGGGTACTGTTCTTTGTGATGATATCTGACGCGATGGGAGAAGTGTGCTGGGGCTCTGTCGTGCATAAACCACATTTGTCCTCTTGTATTCAGTGCTACATCCTCAAGGAGACGTGAAGGAAGCATGTGAGGACCAACAATCATGTCGCCAACAATTCCTGTCCAAAAGTTAACTGAAAATCTGCGCTGGAAGCTGGATTCACTTTAACATAAAATCATTCACTGAAACTTATTTTTGGCTATTATTTCGAAAATTAAACACTTGCGACCCCATCTTCAAACGAACATTTTTTCTTATTTTTGATCCTGGAACACGCACACAAAGTTTGTAAACATACTTTTGACTCACCCTGTATATCCATTAAATGGACCACGATACCGAACATTGTAGTCGAGTGGTGAGCATATTTGCAAAGTCCTCGGTTCATATATTGACCTGGAGACCGGCTATCCTGAGATCTTTCATGGATTTCCTCAGTCCCTCCAGGAAAATGCAGGGATGGTACCTTAAATTAGGATATGGCCACTTCGTTCCACGTCCTCTCCAATTTATTGTTTATTATCGTACTCTCATTTGATGCTATATAGTCTGAGTTACTGAAAAACAGCCATTAAATAAACTGTGAATAAATAAGTAAATACAGACCACAAACAAGACACTACAATTCTTCTGGGATCCATGCCACTATATAGCCAATTTAATGGTCTGAGACAGAGGTCTATTTGTAGCCAGTATAATGGTCAAGGATTGAGACCCAGAGAGAGTGATTGCTATGGTACAGGAAAAAGGCCCACACGTAGCATTGTAATGATCTGTGAAAGTGGTCCCTATAAAGGTTTTATAATGGTCTAAAATAGAGGTCCCTTCATAACTAATAAAATGGTCTAGCATCCAGGCCCTTAAAAAATAAAATAAAGTGCAAGTATTAGCATAAGTATTATTTTATTTCAAATTGATGTGTTCTCTTGTTTTTACCAGGCAGATAATTTAGTTATGCACCGTAAAACTGATAGAACCATACAAAATGTTTATGTATCCTTCAATTCATATATGTTCACTGAAATAAAATAAATATATCTATAGGAGACTACTTGACTGGTTTCATTTGCCATAAACCATCATTGAGGTAGTGGCAATTCTCTATTCCAATTCCCTTGTTGATTTTTGATCTGAAACAAAATATAAAAACTAATTGGAATATTATCAGAGAGCTATAAAGTTACTAAGCAGAAAAGTATCTTATGTCATCCTACTTTATAGCAATATCTGCAACAAATGCAGTTTATATTTCACATATGTATAACTTAAGTACTGAAAATATCATAAGTAGTAAATTCCTTGGTTCCAAAATGCTTTGTGCGGAAAAGGGGTTCAAGCATAACAACGGCCGATAGGAAGAACAGACGGGTCGTCAGTACCTACTTACATATCATCTGTTGATAAGGCAGTCGTCCCAACTGCTAACGCATGTTGTTTTCCCTCTGCCATAACCGCCTGATAATCAACGTGAAGGAAATTTCAGTTTTCAGCCATATCCTAAGTACATGGCCCATGTATTCAGGTGCCCCCGTACACATGCGCAAATTCAAATGGACCTTGCTAATTTAATGTTACACTGACATTACCTTCTCCTACCAGACTCGGAATACACGCACACAAAAAAAAGAGAGAGAGATATATATTCATATGACATGCTAGGCTTCATTATAAACAAGAAGTTACATCAGTAAGTTAAACATAAACAAATGAAATTCAATTTTAATACAAAGAAACGCTGCTGTACCTTTCTGAGAATTTTGGCAGACATGAGAGCAGGCCTTTTTATACAGGATGATTCTAAAAGGACTTTACAACTTTGAAAGTGTGTTTTATTGGCCATGCCTTTTGTTTCTGAATGAAAAAAGAAAAATGCATGGAACAAGATTGGATTCGGTGATATCAACCTTCATAAAGCATTGAAACGACATGAGAACTCTCAAACTCACATTGTTTCAACAATGCAACTAGTGATGTTTGGCAAGTCTCAAATTGACTGTCAACTTGATGATCAAAAGATACCACTGCTTCCCTTATCGAAAATAGTACCGTACACCACTGCATATTTGTACGTGGACCTTTCTCTGGTATGAAGACCTCTATTTCTCAATAAATTATCCACCCAATTTCCAATAATTAATAATGAGTAATGTCCTTCAGACGTTTTGGCAGTAAGTAAAGGATACAACAACAGTCCCTTTTGAAACAGGTGTCATCTTAGCTCCAGGTGATGTAAGACCTGGACACATGATGTTGGCACCACTGAGGACAAAACGAATGGCTCCTTTATCCACTTGCTCCCATGGTAAGAAGAACGGATCTGAAAATTGAAAACAGGACCTAAACATCTTTGAAAGCATTATATTTCGTTGAAAATAAAACTAATGATTTCAGATCCGCGACAGGATACCAGAAGACAGAAATCTTCATACTCATCGCCCTGATGACGGAGGCAGTATGACCTCTGAAACGTTGGTTAACATCGACCAGACTACACAGCGCAACAACCCAGAAGACGGATATCTTCATACTCACCGCTGTGAGAACCTCAAGTCTTACAGGATACTTATTGTCCGCGAGCCACGATAGTAGACGTGGCCCTATCAGCTGTTGCTTGTGTGGCAGGGGGAAAGTGGGTTCTGCGCATGCGCTGGTGATATATTCCTTACCTAAGAACATTGTGCTATCAGTCAGTCAGTACATTAGCTCACGACGTACAGCCTGTATAAGCTGCGGGTGTTTTTCAACTCTCTAGTAGCACAGAATTCTACCCCACCTCCCTCAAAGATGTCAAGTCTACTCTCGTGGCTCGCGGACAATACACATAATATGCTGACATAACTAAATGTTTCTTGAGCCAGTACACAATAAACAGAAGGTTATATTAGCAACTTTACAAAAATTATGTTGTCGGTAAAAAAAAAAGCATTCATTACAACACGTAAATTCAGTTATATCTGGTTAACCATCAGACGTATTTTCTTGATTTAACTAACAAATCTGGGGCCAGTGTAACTTCATACAACTGCAATTGCATATAACTTCACCATGTAATGAATATTTACATTTATGCAAGAGACGCAATGTAGGAATCCAGAGTCCTTCTCTGTGTCGGAAGAAAAGAAGTTCGCCGGCGCCATTCACCAAGATTTCGATGTGGTCATGACTGTAAAGATAAAAACCTGGTAAAACCTTACATTTATGTGCATCTTGCACCAATAACTTTAAATGAACATGTTAAGCTAAGAGTTATTTTAACTTGTCTTCTAAGACACATAGTTTAAGATATACAAAACAAAAATTTTACCAGTTCTGTTTTGCATGGGTTTGAAACATGATATCTTACTCTGAGAATGAAAAATAAATTACAAGTATCTGAAAATAAAGAAGAAGAGGAGGAAGATGAAACTGGCTCAAGAGAATTATGCATAGTGATATGTAAAGGACTAGTAAGGAAATGGTAATGGAATGTTTTAAAGTACCAGTACTATCCTGAAGGCATGAAGGGACTGAAGAAAACCATGAAATGGGACTGTTAAAGTGGTGCAAAACCTGGTGCATAAGTTTGACTTTGGCTTTTAGGTGTGAGATGTGTCAAATGCCGAGCACTAACCAATGTCTCAGCAGACGATGCAGTTACCATCTTCAAGGGAAATGTGTAGTGGGGCTAGTTCCAGAAGTCTTATATAGATCAGCCCATAGGCAGCAAGTTAGATTTGCTGCTGATGATTGGTGAAGCAGAGGAATGGGCCAATTAGCACCATAAAATCTAAGTTGCCTCCTGTGGACCATTCAATATAAGGCTTCCAAAACTCATCCCACTATACATTCACCCAATTAGCCACAGTAACACAAACTCATTCAATGCATCCACCTATGTCACCTTTAAAACACCTGGTGAAGTGTGCAAATTGTGAAGCACAATATTATTCAGTTTTCTAGACTTCCTTTACTTCACATCTCCTTGCTCTGGCTTATTCTTGTCGGCATAATATAGTAAGAAAGTAACAGTTCCATAAAATATGACAAACGGTACCTACCACTTTACTATACGATATGTGTCCTTCTTCGGTAGGATACTGTCCACATAACTTTCCATATATGGATACTGTTCCAGAAGCTTTGTGCGAATTCCCTTCTGAACAGAAGACTTCAGCTGCTGTACCCCTGACACACTCTCCTTTTCTTCAAATCTATGAAGGAACCAAGTCACATGACACAAAACTTTCTTCACATAAAGAATGAAAGTTGAATAAAATGTGCAAAAAAGCATGCACATTTTATACAACTGAATTAGGACTGTTATCCCAATGCAAAAACATGAAAATGTATTAATGAGAATTATCTGTGTTCAAATCCATATAAATGTAATGAAAAATATTTTGGTTGGCAATTTTGACAAAAATGAACAGGTTATAAACATATACCAGAAATCACTGATGTAGAATATACAAAACACTACAAAAGAAATAGCCACAGACAATTTTGGCAAACAAATTCATCTAACAAGTGTTCCTTGTTACACAATGCACATACATTTATTTTTAACATGTTCTGCTTTCTTTTAATAATCAATGTAGCTGGTTCTTATACGCCATTTACGGGCACAACACAAACTGCAGAGGGGGTTAAAAAACAAAATGGTAATGGTCTATTTATCTTACCATTCTCCTCAAATTACTGAGGACAATTACAAAACACTTCACTCAGAACTGTTACTCTCCTACCTGAGACCTGAATGTTCCAAATGCAAGCACTTAGCCAGTCTTACTCTCCACTGCTATGAAATAGTTTTGATCATTTGCAGAGGGCATTAATAAATATATTCTTCATTCTTAGAGTAGTACTTTTAATTTAATAAAAAACTAAAATGTTGGTTCATGTCACCATTACTATGTTTTCCTCAAATTCCACCACTTGCAAGACACTAAACTTCACTCCTGCACAATGAAATTGCAGTGCTCTAACTAGATTATACTGTAGCTTCTCAATGTGTAACAAGAAAGACAATGAGAGAGGATGGCAATATACACCTTTATTTTTACTGTCAACATAACCGTAACTTATTTGTAAGTGTTCTTAATATACACACCATAATTTTGATCTGTTCGGTATCGCGTGGCTAATTTAGAATTGTAATATATAATTCATCATTTCAAAATACAAAAAATATAACTGGGTGCTACCTCAAAATGAACAAAACGTCCTAGAAGATAATTTACACCTGCCATACTATTCTGTCACTCAATCCTTTTTGCCCACTGATGGAAGTTACCAACAAATATAATGTTAAGTTCTTGCGACATTCATTACATTATACAGATTTATTTCGAAAACAAACAGTATGCATAATCTCATTTCACTAACTACACAATGTTGAGGTTAGTTTATAGACACTATTATTCACATACATGAATGGGAACTTCACTTACTTTTTAAACATGTCTAAACACTCAATTAATTTACAAACTAATCAGAATTATAGATCACAAGAGAGAATAATTCCTAAGTTCGTTTAAACAATTAACTTCTGCAAATAATTATAAAACTACAGAAAGCTTGACCACCATATTCCCACTTGGCAGTAGTGTTCATTTCGTCCGTTATTTTACCTTAACTTTGTTAGTTATGCTTTTCATCTGTGTTGCTCACCACAGTAAACCAGTGTTTGGGTTTGAACTCACCCACTTGCTCAGGTTTAATGGTTGGTGCGTTGGGTTGTATTTTGAATGTTATAGCTGTTGGTAAGTATTTATTCACGTAAATAAATTCTTTGTACAGATTTTTCATTTTTGTGTACTAGTGTGGGTTACATGATTTGTAGGTGGTATTAGACGCGGTGAATTTTTTTCACATTATTTTGCATAATCCACATGTCTGCAAGGTAGACCTAAGCACCTTTGGGATTAATATTTGCGATACTGTCCACATGCATTCATGAGGTTTACCGTGGATATCCAACTTAAAAGACGCGTTTTAATAATCTGTCCGTAACATATTTGCTACTTATGCATCAAAAATGTATTAATTAGGGTTTCAAAATTGTCATATGTTGGTGCTTGCTTTATTTGTGTTTATGAGTTGTATTTTTTTTTTTGTTACAGGAGGACTCTTTTAAGTTGGATACCCATAACACTGCAACATTTAGAGTAACCTTAAACATTACTTTGGAAAGATGAGTAATGTGGTCGAAGTTGCAATAACGTGTGAGGGTTCGGGACAGTTGTGGAATGCCTGTGTTTGGGATACACGTGTAGGAACGTCTTTGATGACATACAAGGGTGGTGGAGTGGCAGCACCACATTCATTATGCTTATTAGGAAAGGACTACTTGATGATAAGTGATCATACAAAGCCTGTGCTACATGCGTGGCAACTTAACGGCCAGCAGCCGGTTTCGGCAAAAGGCATGCGGTTTGTGTGTCCCGGACGTGTCACTTCCATGGCTGTTTCTCCTGATGGTTGTTACTGTGTGACTGCAGTAGCTGAAAAGCTTCATGTGTGGCAGGTAGCTTCAGGGCGCCACCTAGCTGTGACAGCACGTCACTTTCAGCCTGTTATTTGTGTTTGTTTTACTGATGATGGTTCACACTTTGTGTCAGGTGGAGAAGATGGACTTGTACTTGTGTGGTCACTAGCATATTTAATATCAAATGATGGTGGTGAGATTATTGCTGGACAACATGAGCCTCGCCATGTATTCTCAGACCATTCCCTTCCAGTGCAAGATTTGTATGTGGGACCGGGAGGCATGAGGGCACGCCTCATCTCTGTATCAATGGATAGAACCTGCAAACTTTATGACTTGGCTTCAGGAACTCTTCTTTTGTCCCTTGTCTTTGACTGTCTGTTGTCGGCAGTGACGATGGACGTTACCGAGATGGAAGTGTTTGTTGGCGGTAGTGACAGTAATATATACCAGTATGGGTTGCACTCCCCTCCACGTATGCAAGAATATCACCTTACAAAGGAAGAGAAGGCCAAAAAATTCTCAGGTCACACCAAGGCAGTGACATGTTTATCTGCATCTATTGATGGTGTTACATTACTGTCTGGATCACTGGACACTGAAGTGATGTTATGGCACATTCCTAGTAGGCAGTGCGTAAGGGTTATACATCACAAGGGACCTGTGACAAATGCTTTCTTTACTATTGCACCTAAATGCATATTCTCTGAAGAAATTAAGCCTACGCTTGTCTTACATAGTTTTCAGAAGAGCTCAGATCTAAATGAGGGAACTGTGGCAATAAGTATCAGGATGACGCAGAGCAACTGGCATGCCATCGATGATGACGATGATAAGAAATCTGACCGCATTTCTGTAATCTCCAGTACTTCTGAAGTCACTGCTTTAAAGGAACAAATTGTTTCATTGAAAAAAGTAAATTCTGACTTGTATGGATTTGCAGTAAAAAAGCTTCTGCAACCATTTAGTGATATTCAGGTACAGAATATGGAAGGTAATGGGCCAAGTTCAATGCAGCCTACAGTTTCAAAATCTGTTCAGAAGTTGAAAAAAATTAAGAAAATAAAGAAAAAGAAGTCCAAAGTCTTGTGAAACTAATATAGTACTTGCACGTGATTATGGTCTTTGTAGACGTCAAAGATACAGTTACTTTAAATGACAGTAACTAGCCTAATATAAAAATTCTGTTCTTGTATGCAGCAACAGTTCAACAAGTTCTGGGCAACTACACAGCTACTATTTATAATATCTGAAGTAGTACTTGGCTATTTGAAATATGGCCACTTTAAAATTTCTGTTTCAGCTCTTGGCTAATGTTTGAAAAATGTGCCACTTTTTATTATATATTTTTGTATGTCAGTACCTAGTTGTGAATTGAGCTAAAGGTAGTGAAAAATGTGCCACTTTTTATTATATAATTTTGTATGTTAGTATCTAGTTGTGAATTTAGCTAAAGGTACTGCTAATTCAGTTGTAACTTAGATAATTTCTTCACAATTTGGAGGTATTTAAAAATTCATGTCTTGTTTTTTTAATTTGATGTAGCTGATTTTTATGAAATGATGCTATACTAGAAGCTTGTATCTGTTGTGAACTGTATTGTTTATATTATAACTACAGATGTATAAGTCTTAGGAATGAAGTCATTTGTTTGTTTTTTTAATAGTACCCACAAAAATGTGTGGTCAAGGTCAGATTTTTCTTAACAGTGCTTCAACTATGTTCACTGTGGTCTGCTGGGTTGCCTTGTTGGAGGTTGCTAATGTTTCAGAGGAACATAATGTCTCTATCTTCAGGATGAAGTCCCCTTGACGATGGGATAGATACATTTTTCCAGAATGTTGGGTATTGCATAGAAGACCACCTGGTGTCACAATGCAGGAGACCACAATCAACATTTTCACTGCTGTGATAACCTCAAATCTCAGCTAACTAAAACTAAATGGACAGGGTGAAATTTCATTCTTATGGCACACTCAGGTGTTTTCCATATATTCTGTACATTGTTCAATGTTGAAATAAAAGGTAAAGTTATTTTTGGTATTTGTCTTAGCACCATGCCTTGAAGTTGAATGGGATAGTGGAGGTATAGCTCCACACATTCTTGATCAGCTTCATGCCCCATCCACTTTACTCCCAGAGAAAGAGACCCCTTTATATCATTGGATAGGAATGGGACTAACTGATTCTCAGAGCTGGTCTGAACGTAGTGGCAAAGTGAAAAATCTCAGCTCTTTCCAGGAATCAAACCCTAGTTACCCAGCATATAGCCTTGTCACTATACCGAATCAGTGCTGCGCCTAGTGTTGCATGTTTTAACTGCAGATTTCAGCCGAGCGATTTATAAAAGATACGAGGCTGTATAAGGAAGTAGCTGTTCTGAGGTAACCACAGCATTCATGTGGAAGAACTGAGGAAAACAACAATTCTTGGTGTGGTGGTGATGCTGTAGACTTGTATGAGGGAATTACTATGTTTAAATGTTGGTACACAGTCCTGACTAATGTTTTTTTATAGTTTTCCTTACTCCAAGTAAATGACATGATTACTGCCTTCAAGTAGGACATACCGTCCCTGCCACTGACGATCATTATTCCATATTCTTTCATGCTATATAAACTCTGCAGCTGAAAGAATGTTGTTAAAAAAGTTAGGAATTGATAATTGTAGGTGGTTTGTAAGTTATGTTGTGAATTTATATCATTTGCACAAGTCATTTAGCATGGAATGGTATGAGAAAATTATTACATATGAAGTTGAGACTGGTGATGATACAATATGTCACCTGTTTTAAAATGGCATGTGTTCAGTTCTGGCTGGATTTTAGAACTTCAAACCCCTGAATGGAGAGTGATATGAATTAACAAACTGCACATTTTGTTTGGTCACTTTACATTTTTTAAATGATAGTTTGATGCAGATGTTCCTAAATATATATGTAATCAGAAGAGGGAATAGAATTACCAAGTTGTGAGGGTTCAAGTGAGGAAGACATTACTGAAGGCAACCGAGAACTAGCGGTCAGGTTGATTGTAATATTGCATGATGATGAACTTAAAAAGTTTGCACTCCTCCCCCAGTATCGTTAGGGTGATTAAGTCAAGAAGAATGAGATGGGCGGGGCATGTAGCGCGCATGGATGGGATAAGAGGTGTGCACCAGGTATCAGTTGGGAAGCCTGAGGGGAGCTGGGGAGACCTAGACGTAGATGAGAGGATAATGTCAGGCGGGATCTATGGGAGATAGGAGTTGAAGGAGACTCGATTTTGTTGGCCCAGGACAGGGTCCGGTGGAGGGCTTTCGTTAATTCGGTGATGAACCTTCGGGTTCGGTAAGCCATCTAGTTAGTTAGGTAGTTAGTTAGTGGGCAGTTTTAGGCTAGCTAATAAGGTGACTGATGTTGATATTAAAACCCAACTAAAAGCCAAAAATGCAAATGGAATGTAGGAATTGCATATAAGTAAATCCAACATTTTTTCTTATGTTCTTACAGGTGGACCATTAATATAAGGAAACTACAGGAAAATGGCGAAAGTACAGAGTTCAAGGGCTAAGATATATGAGAAGAAATCATCGGTTGCTGATGAACCTACAGAACATATTGAGTCAGAGGGGGAACGACTCATAAAACACCTTGTTCAGAAGCAGATTGACACCCACATTAGTCTGTCTGAGTAAGTATGTTTACACCGCAGTTGTGTGAATATAGAGTGAAATTTCTGGTTCCCACAGCACCAACTTTGAAGATGACTATATTTTGGAATGCTGCACCGTATAGTCTGGTACAGGTTTACTGACATATCAGATGTGCTTGCTGCCTCCATCATCATGAGTTTTGTGTAGTAACAGACCATTAGAAAATATCCTACTCTGTTATGTAGGATGTGGAACAACATGGGTGGCCACACATATTTTGTATTTTGCATTAGGTTTGATGGCACTAACTAATAAAGGACTGGAGTTTCAAATGTCATATTTTGTATGGAGTTTTTTTTTTGTATGTGTGTTTCGAGGTGCATAATCACTTTCTCTAGGACAATTATTTTTTTTTAATAAACCCTTACTAACATTTACCGATGTTCATTTTTGGTATGTTATTAGACCATTTTTCATTTGAAGTGCATATAGCGCATTTGTAGGCTGCCTATATACTGGGGTCAAAGGTTAAAATCCTGCTCAGACCATAGATGTTTTCTCTATAAATGCTCTGTGATTACAGGTCAAAGTGAAATTGAAAAATAATGAATCTTTATTCTTTACTATTTATAATGTGTTAGATAATCAACATATGAAGCGTGCTTAAATAGTCCTTGTCCACCTAAGAGAACTAGTTGTTTTAGTGATAAATTATTCAAAAGTGCATACACATGCAAAAAAATTCAGATATCCACAATATAAGAACAAAATACAGATAAAACCTTCATGTGCCAAATTCTAACCTCAGTAAATATCAAAAAAGGAGTTTACTATACTGGAATTAAGTTCTTCAATAATATTCCACCTACTATCAAAAGTTTAAATAACGATATAAAAATGTCTAAGCCAGCGTTAAAAGAATATCTTATATCTCACTCCTTCAACGCAGTAGAAGAATTTATAAATACATTTAAGTAATAATGGCTGTAATACTGTAGTTCCAAAAAACTGTAAATAGCTGTCATAACTATATATTTATATTTGTACTAGAAACAAGTATTGTATTTGTGCTATGACCTTGGCTTAGGCCTATGAAGGATCTGTGGAATGTAAATAAATTCTTTTCTATTCTAAGTGGCACATATGACTTATGACCTTGACAGCTACCCCCTCAACCTTTGTGACATGCTGTAACAATTTGTGAGTTTTGTTATGTTCTTACAAGTGCAGACTGGCTTTTGGATCATCTTATATTTATGATTGTTATGTTTAATTATGATCAAGATATTAATTAGAAAAATTATTCTTTAATTACAGTCAGCTGAAGCAGAACAAGGAATTTGAGAAATCAACAGAGTATGTTCCATTGACCAAATACACTTCAGGACAGATTTCTCTTCAAGAATTTGAAGACTGTACAAAACGAGCCACGCGCGTTGAAGATCTGAAGTCATCTGGTCTTACTGATGAAGAAGTAGAGTTGGTACTTGATCATGGAAAAGGAAAAGAATTTTTATACGAGAAATATAAGAAGCTGGAGAGTTCTGTTTTAAAATCTCGGCTGCAACAGGTCTTTTCAAAAATTAAATCTAGTAGAGCAGAGCAGTGGGATAATTCTAAAGAAAGGTCAGTAAAACATGAAATACTTATTAGGAAAATAATTTGTTACTGGATACATTTGACACAGTATGTTTTCTATTCATTCTTTTGCCGGATCTTAACAATTAATAATAACAACAAAAACAGCTTATAAGTAAAGAAGACACATTTTTGTTGCTAATAAGAGGAGATCTGAAATTTGTGTTTAAACCAAAGTGCAATATTTGTCAAGGTAGTATTTTTGTAGAATATATAAAAACATCTTGACTACATAAAATCTGTATTTGCTTTCTGTCTGATTGCAGTAACTAATGAGCAACTGAAATCTGGCATGGTGCTAGGCCATAAAAATGCCTACAAATTTTGTATGTTTAGAATTACAAACATGGGCACGAAGAAAAATGTTAAAATGACATCTGATAACGTATATTTAGACGGAATCTGTACTAGTCGACATTATATGCAGAAATAACTCAGGAAGTTATGGAAGTATTCATTAGTAATTCTTCCTTTTCATCTAGGATTTCTTATTTTATTAAACTCTGTTGTATTGCCTGTGCCAGCTTCGCGCGGTTTTTTTTTTGGGATCGCTACTGCCACACACACTGTGAAATTTGTTTGTTGGTTACAGTGGTTCGATTGTAAGTCGACACGAGCAGGAACTCGGTTTGTCAGTAAAACCAAACAGTGAACACACCAGACTACTGCAGTTTGCTTTATCATGTCAGCCAGCTGGAAGCAGTACAAACCTGACACCTTTGAGTCACCCCATCAATCACCTCAAGGAACTTGAACAGCAGCTTTTTGGTCACCTTGCAAAGAGGGATCAACAACAACGAAAATCAAAGAAATATCTAAATGCATCGTCAGCCCAAAGATTCAAATCTAAACAGTCCACATCGACAAAACTAAAAATGTCTGGCGAAAGAACGCTGTGGGATTTGAAGGACGCGTCTGTTACGAAGAGCCCGTCGAGAGGAACGACCAAAGTGTGTCATATGTACTCTTGTAAACCTGAAAACTTGTACACCATCAAAGACAAGAAGATTGTGCCAGTTAGTGAAGTTCCTTCATCTCCAATCTCTGTTCGGAGCGCGTCTCTCAGTAGCGGTGGCTGTAACGGACAGCCGTTTGTAGTTTCAGATGTTGCAGATTCTGACGTTAAGATATTACATAGAGAAGATATTCAAAGGAACAAACTGAGCACGGAAGAAATAAAATTGCTTCCCAGATTTCAAAATTATGATAAAGGACCCCCATCTCAGGTAAATATTCAGATTTTCATGTCAGTGTCAAATGGTATAGAAAATGAATGGAAAGTAAACTATTTCCCGAAGGTATGTTATCATTTACGTACCAATTTTGTTTGTTCACTTGTATTTATTTAATTATTAGTTTACTTATTTGCCGATATGTTTATTTATTGATGGAGAATGTCTTAAACTGTTCATTTATTTCATTCTGTATATGCCCAAAATTTTCTGCTAACCCGTCCACAGACGTAAGGCGTTACCATTACAGACATGACGTTCTAGTTAATAAAGGAAGAAAATATTTTTGTGGGGAATTTTCCTGTATTGTGTTTGTTTTTGATGAATTGTCGAAAAATTGTGGTTATGGTATTTCATTCTAGATGTGTACCGAGTTGTCCGCCACTTTTGATCTATGTTAGTGTCAATTTTATATAATAAAATATATGTACAGGTCCTGTTTGTGAAGAATCTGTCAAACAGGGTCAAAGAGGCTGACCTGGTATCCGTGTTCGGACACTTGGATGACCGAGGGCAACGGAGAATAATTTACAGACTTATGACGGGAAGAATGAAAGGGCAAGCTTTCGTTACTTTTCCAAGTAAGTATCATGAAGTTTCATGGTTTACGCTTTTACGGAGAGAATGTAGATTCTAGGTCGTAACTCCACGATAAAGTTTGTGATGTCAGTCGTCAAGACTGGAAACTTTTGATCAACTTTGGAGTGTACATGTTTTCCAAATACACTGCTTTTGATTTTGCTTTTAAAAAACCTAGCTGACACCGCAGATACTACCCTGTTAACGTTGTCCCTGTGTCTTAAGCACCATCCCATGAAAATGTGTAGGAAACACATTCTGTAACTTACCATTAAAGGGAGATTATTGGTCAGCCGTACGTCTGATTTGGTGTTGGACGGGAGACCGGGTGGGCGTCAGTTCTGATATTGATACCGTCACAAACAGAAGAATTCCTCCTCTGTCAGGAATTTAAACCTAACCTTCCATCCTGTATAAAGACACATATTTCTGTTTGTATTTTATTAAATATTAACCACATTGATAAATGTTTCAAATACAGGTATAAATCCTAATTATTAAATGTATAAACCGCCACGGTGGTGTAGCGGTTAGGACGCTGGCCTTGTAATCTCGGGTTCGATTCCCGGCGGTACTCAGATTTACAACTTGTGTTGGGCAAGGCCGTGGTCCAGGCATCACGGAGTTTTCCTCCGGGGTTTCTCCGTGGCATCCCAACAATTACTCAACGTCCGTCATCATCTCGCAAAAAGAGGGTCACAGCAGGAGCGTTAAATGTCGCGGTCCCGATCGAACCCATGTACTGATGGATCGTGAATCCTCCTAACCACCGATGCACACCGTGCCGAATGCGTCAGCAATACAACCTCGTGCGTCCACAACTAACCCGAACGCCCCTTCGTGAAGCAATATCAGAATGTTAACTCGCCCAAACCCGCAGCGCACCCACAAATGAGAGGTCAGGGAGAATAACACTGACTGTAACAGTATTTTGTATGTCATATCTGACAAATTTGATAAAGTGTGATTTCTGCTTCACCGATGATGTCTGATGAAACACGCTATAAACCTTAATACCTAGATCATAGTTTTTGAGCCTCTGCCCTCCTACTCTGATAATGCATGGAATATAAATTTAGTGTGACTTGTATACATTTTTCATTACAGGCGTTGAGAAAGCGACACAGGCGTTAGAATTGATCAACGGATATATCTTAAGGAAGAAGCCTATGATAATACAATACGGCCATACTCCGTCTTCAAAGAGCAAGGCGGAGGCTGCTGTACACAGTTAAACAATGCGCCACTTCTTTGTTCAGTTACTTTCTCAGACTTACGAGCCAAGTGAAAGGAAATTGGCACGAATCAAATTATTTATTTCAGTAACTTTCTTGTCACAGACTTTGTGGAAACTGTAACAGCGCAACTGAATATTCTGGGTTCCGAGGCACCGGATTCTTGCTACTTTGTGAATTTGGCATAAGACATTATTTTTTCTTTCTTCAGATAAGATGTCACCAGAAGAATATTCACAAATGTAGCTTATCTTAGATTGTTAGAAAGGTCTGATTTTTGTTTTTCATTTATGTGTCAAGTGGGATTTATGGTGATTTTCTTGGAGTGTACACACCACATGGTTTAGGGAACTGCTACGGTGGTCTAGAACGCTGGGCTTGTAATACTGGGGTCCCGGGTTCGGTTCCCGGCGGTGCTCAGATTTATAACTTGTGTTGGGCAAGGCCGTGGTCCAGGCAACACGGAGTTTTCCTCCGGGGTTTCTCCGTGGCATCCCAACAATTACTCCACTCTCGCGAAAAGGGGGTCACATCAGGAGTGTTAAATGTCGCGGTCCCGATCGAACCCATGTACTGATGGATCGTGAATCCTCCTAACCACCAATGCACACCATACTCAATGGTGTGTACTGGACACGAAACAAAATGGTTTAAGGAGTGGAATTAAATTGTTATTCAGGTGTAACAAGTGGGAAGCATAAAGGTTATGATGACGTTTTGAACTGTGTGAGTTTTCGTGTAATTTGTGACTTGCCCGAGTTCCTGAATTCCGGTTCTACCGTAAGAAATAGAGACGTAACATGAACTACGTTTATGGGAAATATCCAGGCTGGCTGCCGATAGGAGGTCAGAATTTTGTTGTTATCTGTTCATAGTCTTTGTGAGTTAGGTGCAGCATACTCATGTAAATGATTCTGTCACAATAAGACGTTCTTTGAGGTTTGTTCAAGTATTGTTTTGACTAGAGCTATTGATGTACATTATCAACGTGGACATAAAATTAACTTTTTCTCAACTTCTGAATGATCTATGTTATGTAAATGTGGAGGAGACCTCCGTCAAATTGACGTATATGAATAAAAATTAAATATATCAAATTGTAAGGTCTTTGTTTAACAGAGAACAATAAAATCTTTATCTGTTCAGGTGGTGTATGTCATTTTTACTATGAAACAGCACTGGATTAAAGAGTAAATAGTTACCTAACTTGGCAACAGCGTGGTATACCAAGAGATTTTGTAGTAGGCTATATCTAAAGATTTTACGATGCAACTATGTATGTGAACGATTTGTGTATCGTGTTTTGGGATTAATGCTATATTTATAGAGAAGTCAGAATAGCTTGGAGCAGTGCACTTGCCTTTGAATATGACGTATTATATGTGTTGCGAGTAGCAGTGACCCGTCGTCAAGGATGAGCTGTAAGTTCTTATCAGGAAATTCACATCGACGATTACGGGAACAAAAATCCATAACGTTGCGCGTGGCATTCCTAGTAAAATATTGTTTCGTATGCCTGCATGTAGCGCGGAGACAGCTGAACGTCGATTATACCTACGTACTACACGATAGAAAGAAATTAGTTTAAAATGCTCTAGGGTATCTTGGGTTTCATTTGAGGCCCTTTTTAAATATCAGTGTAAATATACATTTTTCAATAAAATTTAAGTCAGAATCGTGCACGTACCTAAGCAGTGTTTTTCAACTGGTGATCAGCAGCCTACGTACATATTACACCACAGCTCTAGAAAATGCTAGTTGATAATTAACGACTTTTTTTTTGGTTTTCTCTTAAAGTTTAAACAATAACATACGGTTTATAGTACTGGAATATACATTAAATTGAAACAAAATGTCTGCAGTTAAATAACGCTGAATAAACTCCTCCTTCAACTCTTGGATTTATTGTGGTTTTCGTTCCACAAACTTGTAATGCACTGGTTGCCAGAAAGTATGCAAGGGATGTTTAAGAAAGAAGCCAGGACGCCACTTATTTCTGCCTTTCATTTGTCGTCGTTCTCAAAAAATGTCACCATAAACCTAACCTCAGTCGGGCTGTCACAGAACGTTCAACTATCCTTCAGGAAAGGAAGTGAACTGTTAAATGCATAGTCAGACGGTTGCTTAGAGACGCGACTGCTTTGTCGGCTCCTAATTAGAAGTCAGCAGCAGAGCATGCTTAATGGCGGATTTGACGAACAGCACCTTCAATAGATTAATTAGAATTATTGCGACATCATATCACTTCTTCACTGACGCCCGCAATCCTTTCTTCACTCCCTTCAACACTCACTCTTTTAGTTCCACATTCATTCACTAGAGTCTAGGAGATTGCTCATATATCAGACGATTTTCAGAGGGTACCAGACAGAAGACGATAACTTTCTGGGATATTCCGTCCTGATGATGGAGGCATTACGGACGTCTGAAACGTCGGTAAACGTCTACCAGGCTACACGGAGCAATATCACATAAGAATGTCATCTGAAATCTCATTGGGAACAAATACATTTTAAAAATTCTTAGTCTCTCGTATACGAGTATTCCGCAAATAACAAAAAAATCTTCCAATTTTGTGTGCTCTTGTCAGTCACGGCGTGTTTGAAAGGGAAACAGGACGCTGGGGGAAGACCTAAGAGGGAAATGGTTGACCCATAAACGAGGTATTACGTAATTTGTATTCTCCCTTTCAACTACACCATTTAATCCCCAGTTATTATTGTAACTTCTTAAGATTTTAAGTATTTAATTTTCAGGCTGATCTTGTAGATACATCTCGAAAGATAGAGACTTTAACAAAAGACGTGGAATTAATTAAATTTCCTACATTAAATCCCTCGATTACAAACCAGCCACAAAGTCAGACTTTATTATTCTAAATAATTAAATTCAGTAGTTTTTTTTTGTGAATATAAATTAAGTTGTTTCAAGGCGTTCTTGTTTCAAAATTTGTGTCTGCTCGTAGTGTTAACATTTCGGTTATTTAACAAATAAATTTCATTCGGGTGATGCTTGTGGAAACGAGAACTGAAAAGGATATGGAAAGAATCTTCGATTCTAACATGAGAGAGAATTGTAGCTCACACATACAGTAAACAAACTGGCTCGTTACAACTTTGATAATGAGCGGAGACTCGGCTCGATAACAAAGCATTTGTCGGCGGAGCGGCTCTGTTACGTAGACACACTACTCCTTTACGGCGGTGAAGGCCACCAGCAATACTTTCTGTGAAGCCAGAGGGACAAGTTCGACACACTCTAAAGGAGCCAAGAATTATAAGAAAAGCAAAAGTGGTGGGAAGAGAATGGATACACATGGAAGTAATTACAAAAACAAATAAAAGGGATGAATAAATAAAACAAGAGAAAGTTAAAGAAATGTTAAAGGCTGATGAGAAGAATGAAGTAGAATATTGAGAAAGACAGAAGGGAACATGAGTAAATTAATATAAAAAAGTTTCTTTTCCATATATTATGTTGTCAAGACAATAAAATCAATAAGGATGAGATGGGTGGGACATGTAGTACGAATCTGAAGATGGAAACTGCGCACATTGTCTTTTTGAAAACTCTAAATGGAAGAGATTTCTCGGAAAACGTAATCGCACATGAACAGATAATATTCAAATGGATGTGAAGGAAGTACTTTGAGAGTGCGTGGACTGGATTCATCTGGCTCAGAACAGGGACTTTTGGCGGGCTCTTATGAGCACGGTAATGAACTTTGTGGTTTACATACAAGGAGATTTTTGTCACAGCCGAGCGACTATCGACTTCTCAAGGACTTCGGTCCATGAATCGGTTACTTAAGAAGAAGGAAAACGGAAGTAACATCGAACCAGTGTGAGAGATGGACCAGAAGAAACAAAGAAGAAAAGCCGTGGAAAGGCTAGAGAGAGAAATTAAAACCAGAGAGAAATGGAGAAAGATATAGAGAAATTTTTTTAAAAAAAGGCAGACAGAAACAAAGAGAGAAGGACAAAATTCCGAGAAGAATATAAGAAACGAAAGAAAATAACAAAGAATAGAGAATTCGAACCTGTCTTAACAATTCAGAGCAGATAATGAGATTGTGTCCAAAGGAACATCATCAAATTTGATCTCGTGCCATTTTGTTGTTTGGGGTGGTGAGAGTACGACCTTGTTACATTAGACGCGCACCTCGATCGCACATTTCACCATAGCAACCGCGGATACAGCGTAAGGAGCGCGAGTCCCTCTCTAACAAATCATGTATTGAACAGCCAGCAGGCAGCTTTCGACAGCGCACTCTACTCAACTTAAATAGAATCACTTTCTCGGTGTTATCCCGCAATCGTTTCTGAATATTATTCTAAGCCATCTTCAATGCCTATTTTTAAATACATTTTAATGTTATCATCCCATCTAATGATACCTCAAAAGTTATATATTCTCTTAACATTTTCTGACTAAAATTCTTTTCCACTTATGATCCCTCCCATGTGTTTTCATGCACCACTCATCTCATATTCCTTGATCATTATATTTCGTTGTGCACAAACTACGAACCTCCTCATTAATCAGTTTTATCCATTTTCCTTACTTATTCTCTGCCCATTACCTACTTACTTCCGACCCACGCTCAAATATTCTCGATTCAATGATGGTCAAATTAGCGAAATGTTCTCTATCACACGCTCGGACTTTGATCTTATCTTAAAAAAAATTAAAACTTACAGGATCGTCATTGAAGGCGTAGCTTTATACAAATGTGAAACGTAGGTTGTCAGTTTTAATGAAGAACACAGCTCTGAAGGGAATATTTGCACACAAGAGAGAGTCAGAAAGAAATCACTGGCGAAAATTCCATAATGAGGAGCTTTATAATTTGTACTCTTTACGTAATGTTGCTGGAGTGATTAACTTACGGTGGAACAAATGAGTGGTGTTTGTAGTATTTTATGTGATGGAAATGAGGCATGCACATAGCACTGAACGGAAAGCTATTAAAACGTCGTACTATTAAAGTAGATTTCAATGAAATACGGCAGTGAAGTTCTGTTATAATATTGAACTTAAATAAACTATAGGAACTATTTATAGTTTGACCCTAATGATAATTCTTGTCAAATAGTATATAATATCACATCTCCAAACTTTTATCATTAAAGGATTAGATGATATTTGTTTTGTATTCTCTTTGAAGGCATCTATTTGCATGACGAGATCAAACATTAGAAGTTCTCTCTAATAAATGGTAAGTCTACACAATATAGTGCAGTGTTCACATGAATTGAAAATAAGTCCGGTCACGCCCATTTTACTGAATAACAATAATAATTAATTCTGTAGTTAGTTACAATATTTACAGATTATGCGCATGCATACACAATTTGGACTTCTCACCAGATATTATTATAGCAATAAAATCAACGGGAATTAGCTGAGCGACTATCAGATTCTCAAAGACTCTGAATAGCACCTAAATATGCGGCTGTGCGAATATTTTAATGAGTCTAAGCAAGGAATTTACTGAACAACTTTACAAGTCGATCCTACACCATGAATTAGTTACCTCCTGTTTTGATATTAATTTTATTTCAAGAGCATTTCTTGAGTGATATCCGCCTAGAAACAAGGTACTGTGCACTTGTAATATGGATTTTTCGTCGGTGTCGCACTTGCATACATGTGAAAGCATACATAGATGAACGTCACGCCATAGAAATAATTGGCTATCACTTTCTGTGCAACAACACACAAGAGTAACAACAGTCTTTATGGTCAATTATAAGGACTGTTCCAAACGTAAGGGGAGGGAGGCGAAATTGCTTCAAAACCTGAGTCAGGTTTAAACAGAGCGCACGGTTTAAAAAGCATTCTGTCTCTAACAAAGTGCCATGAAGCAGCTTATTGGAAACAATAATAAGATGTTGCTTCAGTTTCATAAACATCTGTCAACTGAGGATGATGAGTTGAACCGCGGGCGCTACAACCCAGAAGACAGCCATCTTCAAATTCGCAGACGCGAGAACTTCAAATCCTAAAATCTGTCAACTCAAACAAAAGATTCTAAACGTGAAAGTTCACCCAGGCTCCGACTCAAAATAAATATAAAAAGTAAAGATAAATATAAGACTTGAAGCTTTCACGGCGAGAAACCTGATGATGGAGTCGGAGATGGTCTCCGAAACGTTAGGTTTCTTCTACAACTGAAAGGTTTGTAGCCCGAGAAGACTTCATCGTGTGAATATAAAGTTGTTCCTTCCGCTAACCAAACACCGCGCTATACAGGAACATAGGGAGGGGGGGGACTAGATTAAGTCCACTCACTGTTAACCGTAGCACTAAATGGAATTTAATGGTTAGCTTCACGTCCCAGCCGCTTTGTCCCCGAGGAAAGAATCCCTGAACGCATTAGACTGGAGTCTTTGTAGACCACAGAACCAGTCTGGACGTTGTCTTGTCCTGCCGGGAACCGAAACTCGGTCATCCAGAACTTAACCATGTCACAATACTGACTGAACTTTCTAGAGCAAATAAGGCTCCACGTTGTCTAGTGTATGTCAAACCATACCGAGTTTCGCTGCAATGGGTCTCACAGTTAAGTGCGGATGGATGGATGGATATAACTAAGATAAGAGAGTTTTTCAAT